CTCCTCCTCCCCAGAGCAGCCAGTGTTTTTCCCACGGGGACCTGCCCTGCCTGGCTTTGCAACACCAAGACTGGATGTCACTTGGGAGCTTCCCCCCAGGGGGGTCTCCCCAGAATCTTCTTGATTTGTCTCTTCTGCAACATCTCCCCCCCTGCCAGGGCACCCTAAATACCACCCTCCTTCCTATCTTTCTAGCAGCACTAGCCCAAATCCTCCCTCCCTGCTCAGGATGTGCCCCCATAGTGACTTCCATCACTCACCCTGCTCCTGGACGCAGGAGAAGCATCACCTGCCTCCTGATTACAAGAGACACAGCTCTGCTAATGAATTCCCACCCTCCTGCCCCCGGCGCTGCGCGTGGCCTCAATACTGCACGTGTTCCTGCCGTGTCATCCAGCATCACACAGCCCATGCTGGGAGCAGGTGACAGGCAGTGCTCCTGTCCCTGAGCTGCAGGTGTGATCAGCAGCACAGGTACCAGCCCCAGCAGCATGGGCATCGCAGGACAGGGAGGAGGAAAGCTCATGCCAGGCCCCAGGGAATCCTCCCACAGAGGACAGGGAATACCTGCCATCCCTCCTGCCACGGCACACTGTGCTCCATCACACTGCACAGCCACTGTCAGCCTCTGCCTCCCTGCTCCCCACCTCTCACCCCCTCTGAGACACCTCCAACTGCTGATCCCAGCGTTGACCAGCCCGTGTGAACATCCCGTCACCATCTCATCCCATCGCAGCTCCAGTTTACAGGTCTGAATGCCTGTGAACATCCCATCACCATCTCATCCCACCGCAGCTCCAGTTTACAGGTCTGAATGACCTTGCTACAGTCCCTGAACTGCAGCCACGTGGATCCAAGCCTCCAGCACTGCTGGGAGAGACTGTCCATCTCAGCTCCTCCTGCCTGAAGGATGACATCCTGCTGCAGCAACTGCCTGAGCCAGGTCACCTGGGCTGCCATCATCCAGTTACCTTCCCTGGGCAATGGGCTCCACACCACCCACACACTCAAGGAACAGGATTATTCCTGTGCCAATAGACTGGAAATCCCCCGTGGATAGAGAAGTGGAAAAGATGAATATTGCATCGAGGAGCAGAACAGCCACATCTCTTGGTGCTGGTGACATTTGCCTACACAACTGTCTAGTTACAGAGGTCAGTGTTTGTACAGGTATCCCTGGGAATCAGACACCCAGGTATCTTTAAAAGTCTTGTCCAAAATGCACTGGAGAGCTTAAGTGCTACATGAAAGGTGGTCCTTGGCTTCTGAAGATACTAAGAAAAAAAATGGCATTTTCTTTGCACTTTTTATCCATAGTTCTCAAAATCCTCTGAGTGAACTGTGCATCCTGTCAGTGCCCACCTGACCAACAGACGGGTCAGACATGAGATCAATGCTTGGACAAGCAAGTGCCTGAAGAGCCCTTGCTCCTGGGTTTTGCTCATATTTTCCTCCCTCAAAGGAAAGCAATATGCATCCATTTCTTTCTGAATCACATCCTCCAGGAACCTACCCCAGCCAAGGGAGGTGATGCTGCCTCTGGTGCTCCTCTGCTCTGGTGGGACCCCTCCTGAAGCACTGCATCCAGCCCTGGGGTCTACAGCACAGGAAAGACATGGACCTGTGGGAGTGAGTCCACAGGAAGCCATGGAAATGCTGGAGCACCTCTGCTATGGAGACAGGCTGGGACAGCTGGGTCTGTTCAGCTCAGAAAAAGCTCTGGGGAGATCTTAAAGCCCTTTGCAGTACCTAAGGGGGCTACAAGAGAGTTGGAGAGGGACTTGGGACAGGACAAGGGGGAATGGCTTCAAGCTGACAAAAGGCAGGGATAGATGGCATATTGGGAAAACATTTTTTTGGAGCACCTCTGCTATGGAGACAGGCTGGGACAGCTGGGTCTGTTCAGCTCAGAAAAAGCTCTGGGGAGATCTTAAAGCCCTTTGCAGTACCTAAGGGGGCTACAAGAGAGTTGGAGAGGGACTTGGGACAGGACAAGGGGGAATGGCTTCAAGCTGACAAAAGGCAGGGATAGATGGCATATTGGGAAAACATTTTTTACAATGAGGGTGGTGAGGTGAGAGCACAGGTTAACCAGAGAAGTTGTGGCTGCTCCATCCCTGGAAGTGTTCAAGTCCAGGTTGGATGGGGCTCTGAGCAACTTGGTCTAGTGGAAGGTGTCCTTGCCCGTGGCAGGGGGATTGAACTAGATGGCCTTTAAAGGTCCCTTCCAGCCCAAATCATTAGGTGATCCTATGATCCTAGCTGGAGGAAGAGTTCATCCTCAGGCATCCCCACCCAGCCCATAAAACACAACCCTGCTCAGCTCAGGTACCATGTGGGGCTGTGGCAGCCCCAGAGCTTGTGCAGACACTGCCTCATCACCAACACCCACCAGTTCCTGTCTGATCACCAGCTGCCCAGCTGCATTCTCACACTATCAGGGCAGTCAGCACCCTGTCCCTATCTCCCTGCCCTCATCCCACTGCTTGGCTCCCAGGCATGTGGAAAATCTCAGCCCACCTGACATCAGTCTGGGAGATAATGATCATCATTGTTTTCGCTTGGCTGTAGCCATCACCTCCCCACTGGATGTCCTCCTGGCTTCTCCTGCCCCATGCAGGGCTGCTGCTGTATGAGGCTCACCAGAGGGCAGAGGGTTAAAGGCACTGGTGGCCAGAAACCTGCAGAGTGAGGGTCACCAGAGGGCAGAGGGTTGAAGGCACTGGTGGCCAGAAACCTGCAGAAATAAATAGGGAGACTCATGTCTCCCTTCTGCCCAGCCTGGTGCCAGGAATGCTGAGCTACAACTAAATATGTTGCTCAGGAGCTGTCACAGGTTAAAAAATACCTTGAAAACCTTGGGAATGAATTTAATCTGGTGCCTGTCTCTTCTGCTGACACTGATATGAGGGAATTTCTCTGCCCCAGTCTGCCTGTGAGAATCCAGCCTTGCACCCCAGCACGAGTTCCCAGAGGGAAGGGGATAGAGGAGGAAGGGCAGCATGGGCTGGATCCAGTGCCAGCAAACCCCTGTCAACAGTGGAGTGAGAAAGGAAAGCTGTTTGGTCTCTCCTGCAGCCAAGTGGACTGCCACTACCAGCCCCAGAAACCCATCTCAGGAGGGAAATGTCCCTGACCCCACTGGGGCCATATGAGCCCTGACCCGCTGCTCTGTCACAAACCAGCCACAAACCCAGAGGTTTATAAATATCCCTGCTAAACCTGCAGACAGGCTCCCTGCTCTGGCAGGGCTATTCCAGGCCTGACACACGATCCACGGGGGTCATCAAGCACCTGGGAGAACATCCAGACAGACAAATCTGGCACCATCCCTGCACCCAGTCTGCTGAGCCCTGGCACAGTTCCCTGCCATCCTGCCCACCCCTCCCTGCAGTGCTGCCAGCCCCGGGCTGGGGGCTGCTGGCCACAATTCCCCTCCCAGCTGTAGCCAGCACAGCCATGCAACCAGTGCTGGAGCTGTGGGTGAGACAGGAGTGACAGCTCCATCCCCTTTTTCCATAGTCCACTGGCAGTGTTGGTGCATCCCAACCTCCAGCAGCCACTGGCCAAGAAGCAGCACTTGCAACCAAAGTGCATCATCCAATAAACCTGCAGTGTTCCTGGGTGGGATTTCTCCAGGGACAAAATAGAAAGCTTGGCCAGAATAGAATATAATATCCTGCAGTATTTATGGTACATGCAGTGGTGCCAGTCAGTAGTGCCAGCATAACCTCTGGTGGGTGGCTATTATTTGCTGCTGCTGCTCAGATGGTGAAGGGGAGTAAACCCTGGAAAACATACCAGAAGGACATGGAGACAGTGCAGCCCATGATGGGGGGAGTGGCTGTGGGAACAGAGCATAGCCATGCTATGATGAGAGATGGATGGGTGCACCAAATGAGCAGCAGAAGGAAACCCAACTCACAGCATCACCAGACACACCTAATTCATACTTATCACAGCTTGGCCTCACATCTCCAGTGATCCCATCAGTGAGCACCCCAAGCTTGGGCACAGGAGCTGTTCCATGACTTAATGCAGCCGGTCCAGGGTGGGATCTGCTAATGCCTTAATCACTCACAGCACTGCAATGGAAACGGGCACAACCAAAACCCAACGACAACTCCAGCTGAAGATGAAAAGCTGATTTCATTAGAATGAGATAATGCAATTTCCTAGTTGACCAGAACACCAGACACAGCCAAGCTGAAGCAAGACCTGGCTGAAGCTTCAGTGAAACTAGAGTCGCAGAATATGCAGTTTCACCAGATCCATGATGCTCTGAGAAACTGTGACAAGCTTGTTTGAAAAGTGTGAAAGAGTCTTGGAAATGTCAAAGGATTTCAGCACCTTCTGGAGGCTGCTGGATATTTCATTTGGAAGATGCTAGTTTCATTCTTTCTTGTACTATGTGATAGTAAGTTGCTCGTAACTCGAGCAGGTTCTTAGTGTCTCTCTGTCACGGGGCTAGTGACTATAATTGTGCCTTTCACAGAGACTGGGAAGTT